TTGGGAATGTCTCAAGTCAATGATCCGAAGCTGGAAATCACGAATACTATGGCAGAGGTCACATGACTAGCTGCCTCCCACACGTCCTCCTTTTCGCTCCGACCAAGTCGCTAGAACGAGATCAAATTAACTTTATACAGCTAAATGAGAATGCATCCAACCCCAACTCCTTGCACCATTTTGGCATTTCAATCAACGATCTAATCACGGCATATTTTGCATTTCTCGTTTAAAGCATCACACCTACGTGCCAGTGTCTGCACCATACCTCATACGTGCACACGTTGATGTTTCTATCTTCCTTTTTTTGTTTCACACACATACATCCATATATACACACATATTTACATACATACATACACACATACATACATACATGCACATGCACGAATGCTCAAACCAGCCCACAACCCAAAAAGTTCTGCGTACAGCCGACGGCAGGCTGACCTTCGTGTGGAATGGTTCACTAAAGCCTGTCATTTGACTAGCCAACTGAGCAGTCGGATGCCGATACGGTTGCAGATGGAATCTCGTCGACCTGCGGAGACGACGCGACAGCTCAAAGAACTGCTTGCCCTCCGACAGGCCAGCAAAAAGCGTTCCAGTGAATGGTGGACCATCCCTCTTGAGCTGTAGGTCACAGACCTGATAGACCGAATGGGTCCATTTGGCGCAGACTAAGTGAAAATGTCGCCAACTTTCTGTCTCTAGAGACTACGGACAATCGGATCCCTCTTAAAATTGCAAGGAATGGAAGTCAAAACTACGTAACTAGGACACTTCACGAGAATAGATATAAGCTGGGAATTTTTTCACTCTTGCTAACTTGGGAAGAGTGGGGTATTTTATTTATTTGTCACCATAGTTCCCGAGGCAGCCAGATTTGCTTGTAAACTCACGACAGCATCCTATTCTGTCTGTCTCTGCCTTATTGTGTATTGCATAAAGAGCCATTACTCAGTTCACTTCGGTCAATCACAAACAAAATGAACTTAATTCAGATAACATCTGGATGGCATGGCGTCAAAAAGCTTTGAGTTTTATTTACTGGTAGTTGATTTTTGCCACAACAAAACCTCAGCTCTACTCATACCATTGTGGGAAAAATCAACTACCAGTCCTTCATAACATTAAACGAACTAGGGTGAATACAACTCATATAGTTGATTTACTGGTAGTCTTGAAAAGTAGTCATCGACTGCTATAGCAAATATAAGTTTTCTTTATCTACAATCCCAACATAGAATGCGATATTGAAAATGCCTGAAATTCCTTTAAATTCACATCTGCCCTGTCACCCAAGAGCACTCGTGGCAATATGGCGTAGTTGTTAGCGTGTCAAGCTTACACATTGCACTGTCATGTTTCGACTCCCGCTTGGGGTGTTGGTAAGACCTATGCCAACTCGAAACTGCTGTTCATCCTGAATGAGAACACCTTTTGGGAAAACAAGGCTGTGTGAAATTGAATGGAAACGTCAGCTCTACTCATACGATTGTGGGAAAATTCAACTACCAGTCCTTAATCATCTTAAACGAAATGGGGTGAATACAACTCATATATCTGATTTACTGGTGGTCTCAAAACCTACTAATTTATGAAGAAGCTTTGCCTCCAGGTGGCAAAGGGGAACTCGGAGCAAGTAATGTATGCATTGGTGAATCCCCTAGGCCTACTTTCGTACTAGTGTCAAGAAATCTTGTCTAGCGAGGGAAGACATAACAACATTAGGCACTACTGATAAGCCGGCCAGTAATTAGTTGAAATAATGCGCATTAACTTTGGTTCACATATAACACCAAATATAATCTTGCCGGGCAAACATGTCAAGAGGGTTTGGGGATCAAAGACAAGCGAATAGTTTTCCGTCAAAAAAACTTCATAAGAATTACACAGAAATAGCGCTGTTATGGACGAAGAAAGCGTGATTAGTTAGCAATGAATGCAAAGATCGCTGAAGAGTAAACTTGAAGTGGCGTACGTGAAAAACGAGGGAAAAGCTCACTTACATTTCAAGTGTAGGTGTGTGACAAGGTGTTTCAAAATTATAACCCACCAGGTTACAGCAGACTCCTCCTGGATAGCTGTCGTTTGGCCTTACATGAACCTTTTGGTCTACTCTGTTTCCGAGGCAATCTCCTTTGATTCCAATCAAATTGGCTAATTCGCTAGTTGAAAGACCCCAACATTCCGACAGCTAATTTAAATTGAGTTAGGCTTAATGTAGTTGAAAATATAGCATTTTGCAAAGGCCATGACAGACTAAAGCTCATCGCGTTTCCATCGAAATTCAAGGGGATTGACTTGAGGACATCATAAAAACAGATTTCAGTAAGGCCATACGAGACTTGGAAAAAAAGAAACCGCTGTCGTCTCCTGATGGAATCTACCTTCGAATCTTATCTCCACAAATCGTTAACCGAACTATAATTGTATGCAGAGAAATTAACTTTTCTTCGGCAAATGAAGAAAGCTTCAGCTTTTT